AAGGTTCAGAAAAACCGACATGTTGATAAATTAAAACCAGTGCAACTCTTGGGTATCTTTATTGAGGAAACGTTTCGCCACACAGTGGCTTCATCAGTCCTAAAAAAGGGAATCTTGAAGAACAGGGGGAGAATGAGGTAATCAGTCCCCAACCTTGAGTCGATGTGGTCATCCATCAATCTTGAATAGAATACGGCAAAAATGCTGAAAGGAGCTTATAAACCTTTGGCAGGAGGGGTGCAGCAGTTAGGTCGTGAAACTTTTGTTAAATTTTGAAGTAGGTCGTGCCCAAAAATTTAGGCAAGCGAAAAATTTCCCAACTGTGGGTCTCGAACCTTTCTTTAAAAAACCTGTCAGAACTGCAACTTTTTGGGGATTTAATATTTGGGGAATTTCTTCGCTTGCCTAATTCTTGGCACGCCCTACTTCAACATTGAAAAAATGTTACACGACCTAGACTGCGCCCTCCCCGCCAAGGGTTTTTAAAGCCCCTTTCACCCGTATGCCGTTTATTCTATTCAAGATTGATGGACTGACCACATCGACTCAAGGTTGGGGACTGATTTTCCTCTTCTCCCCCTGTTTCTTCAAGATTTTCCCCTTTTTATGGACTGATGAAGCCCTTGTGGCGAAACGTTTCCTCAATAAAGATACCCAAGAGTTCACTGTGTCTAAATTTTTAACATGTGGTTGTGATGAATGGGTTTGAAAAAAACCCACAAGTTGAAAATTGAGACACTTTTGCGCTATGGGAATCTTTTTTCAGGAAACGTTTGCCACACCAGTGGGTTCATCGTCAATACAAAGAGGAAGGGGTAAGGAGAGGAGGGTATGAGGTAATCGTCCCCAGCCCGGAGTCGATGTGTTAGGCCCAATTTGTAGAATGTACGCATAGGGGCCCTAACGTGGCTTATATACGTAGTGAGGTGACTTGAAGCGACGGAGGCGGGGTCATAGTGGGGGACCATCCACTAGTCGAAGTAGGTCTTTGCCAAAGGTTGAACAAGCGTTGAAGAATTCTTTTGGGGGATCCCCTGAGCTGCAGTGTTACAGTTGTGATGAAAGGTTTTAAAAAAAACCCAAAGTTTTAAGATTGGACACTTATGCAGATATGGGGTCTTTATTCAGGAAACGTTTCGCCACACAGTGGCTTCATCAGTCCAATACAAAGAGGAAGGCGTAAGGAGAGAGGAGTATGAGGTAATCAGTCCCTCAGCCTGGAGTCGATGTGTTCAGTCCATCAATCTTGTAGAATGTACAGCATAGGGCCGTAGACGTGGCTTATATACTATAGTGAGGTGACTTGAAGCAGACGGAGGCGGGATCATAGTGGTACCATCCACTAGTCGAAGTAGGTCTTTGTCCAAAGGTTGAACAAGCGTTGAAGAATTCTTTGTAAGAAGATCCCATGATGCTGCAGTGTCTGACAGTTGTGATGAATGGTTTGAAAAACCGACAAGTTGAAGATTGAGACACTTATGTAGCATATGGGAATCTTTATTCAGGAAACGTTTCGCCACACAGTGGCTTCATCAGTCCAATACAAAGAGGAAGGCGTAAGGAGAGGAGGAGTATGAGGTAATCAGTCCCTCAGCCTGGAGTCGATGTGTTCAGTCCATCAATCTTGTAGAATGTACAGCATAGGGCCGTAGACGTGGCTTATATACTGTAGTGAGGTGACTTGAAGCAGACGGAGGCGGGATCATAATGGTACCATCCACTAGTCGAAGTAGGTCTTTGTCCAAAGGTAGAACAAGCGTTGAAGAATTCTTTGTAAGAAGATCCCATGATGCTGCAGTGTCTGACAGTTGTGATGAATGGTTTGAAAACCGACAAGTTGAAGATTGAGACACTTATGCAGCATATGGGAATCTTTATTCAGGAAACGTTTCGCCACACAGTGGCTTCATCAGTCCAATACAAAGAGGAAGGCGTAAGGAGAGGAAGAGTATGAGGTAATCAGTCCCTCAGCCTGGAGTCGATGTGTTCAGTCCATCAATCTTGTAGAATGTACAGCATAGGGCCGTAGACGTGGCTTATATACTATAGTGAGGTGACTTGAAGCAGACGAGGCGGGATCATAGTGTACCATCCACTAGTCGAAGTAGGTCTTTGTCCAAAGGTTGAACAAGCGTTGAAGAATTCTTTGTAAGAAGATCCCATGATGCTGCAGTGTCTGACAGTTGTGATGAATGGTTTGAAAAACCGACAAGTTGAAGATTGAGACACTTATGCAGCATATGGGAATCTTTATTCAGGAAACGTTTCGCCACACAGTGGCTTCATCAGTCCAATACAAAGAGGAAGGCGTAAGGAGAGGAGGAGTATGAGGTAATCAGTCCCTCAGCCTGGAGTCGATGTGTTCAGTCCATCAATCTTGTAGAATGTACAGCATAGGGCCGTAGACGTGGCTTATATACTGTAGTGAGGTGACTTGAAGCAGACGGAGGCGGGATCATAATGGTACCATCCACTAGTCGAAGTAGGTCTTTGTCCAAAGGTAGAACAAGCGTTGAAGAATTCTTTGTAAGAAGATCCCATGATGCTGCAGTGTCTGACAGTTGTGATGAATGGTTTGAAAAACCAACAAGTTGAAGATTGAGACACTTATGCAGCATATGGGAATCTTTATTCAGGAAACGTTTCGCCACACAGTGGCTTCATCAGTCCAATACAAAGAGGAAGGCGTAAGGAGAGGAGGAGTATGAGGTAATCAGTCCCTCAGCCTGGAGTCGATGTGTTCAGTCCATCAATCTTGTAGAATGTACAGCATAGGGCCGTAGACGTGGCTTATATACTGTAGTATATACAGGCGGATGACATCACCACTGGAGAGATTTATCAGGGAAGTGACATCACAGACGTCATTGTCTGTGATGTCACCTGATGGGAAATGTCATTACGAGAAACGGGGGCTGAAATATGTAATTTGTGTTAGCGTAATATTTTTTAGTGAAAATGTGAGCCAATAGAGAGAAAACGGAAATAAATGTATATTTTTATGGTGGTCGAGATTCACTATGTATAGTTTCATGGTAAAGAAGTTAGTTAGTTAGTTAAAGATTAGCCGGTAATCTCCCGGCCCGGGCCTTGTCCAAGTGGTGGCCCGGCCTTGGCTCCCTCTTTAGGGAGTGTCTGAGACCTAAGTCTCCCATGGGAGGAGGAACAAGTACCTCCTCATCTTTGGGACCAACTGTCCCCAGGCCTAGCCACAAGCTAGGCCTCTCTGGTCTGCCATCCCCACCCCAAGGGGGCTAATAGGAATGACAGTCTTGTGAGCTGAAAGCTCCGGCTCAGGCACCTACCCTACCCTAGAAGGGCTGGGCATGGTGTCGATGATGGTAAAGAAATGAACGTATAATTTCTATCGAGACTGAAAATTATTTTTCATAGTAAAGAAAATGAGTGTGTAATGATTTTTTTCAGGGTAGAGAAATAAATGTGCAATGAATTTTCTGGTGGGGAATGAATATGTAATGTTTTTTTCAGAATATTGAAGCGAATGTTTAATGATTTTTTTAGGGTAGAGAAATGAATGTGTAGTGATTTTCATGGTAATATTTACTTCACAAAATACCATGTCAATATAACTATACTTGCTATGTTTTAGTTATGTTTACCACAATCATAAAAACATACCAGTGTTTGAATATTATCAGCCTTTAAAAATATCTTGTAATACCATGGCAGTGGTCAAGATTCCCAACGGAGTGATCAGTCTCTGTATGGGGCCCAGGAGCTGCAGTTATGCTTCACTTTGAATTTACTTTAAAATCCACTAGTGTGATTAGGTCTTGGAATATGTACCCTATACATCTAATACCACTATGTCAATATTTACACTTTTCAACTGGAGTGAAATTGGTCAATTTACCTTTAGTATACAAACCTTGTGACTCAGTAACACTACTCACCTTATATACAAATAAGGTTGAGACCAAGAGAGTTGTCATGCGTGTCTAAGGACAAAACTGTCTACATTTCATCCACCGAAACTTGTCAATACGAAAATCGAATTTCATTTCTATGATAACTGCAAATAAAAGTTTGGGTTAAGTCGGGAAAATGGAGTGAAGATAAGCTCGTGGTAAAAATCACAACCATGGTTTCAGTCTTTGTAATAAAAGTCGAGAAAGCAGTAAGAGACCGCTCAAGAAAAAACAGGCCCTGATCCACCGCGAGGCCAGGTCATAGACCGGGCAATGGGGAGGGGAGAGGATGTGTTGACCAGAGAGAAGCCAAAATCAGTTGGTCAAAACTGGCCAATATTTCGCTCAGGTATCTACATTAAGTGGACTAAGCAACCTCGCAAGAGATGGATTAGACAACACATGGCACATATTCTACATTGCCTCACTGACAGCGTATGATAGCCACATATGAATACGTCGTTTTGTCTACGGTAATTTTCATCCTCTTTCTCTCTAATCGTCGGGCCATTTAATTAATGATAGTGAATTTAACTTATTAGAAAGCACTGTGTATTGGGGAGTTTTCTTGGTAATCAAGATCTACGTATTAGTGGGAGTGTCACGATCATCAAAGTAGTGCCTTGTCTGAAGACTCAAGATGCCACAGATTCGGGGAACGATCGTGTCAGAAAAACAAATTACCCATGTGATGTATTGAGTAATAATTTAAATAAACCTTAAAGTAGCATTTCCCACAAGCAGTGAGTTATATTTCAAAATGACATTCAGAGTGATTTAAATAAAAATGAAATCATCAGTAAATTCATTCTTGCCTCCTCCTTTCCATATGCTCTTCTGTTCCAAATTTTCATGGCATGTATTTAGGTACTGAATCAATAATTTTATTTTCACGTCTATTTATTCACTTTGTGTTGGAGGCACATGTCATATTTATATTACTATTTATATCATTTATATTACATATTTATAACACTTGTCAATGTTGTCTTGGGTGACGTTGTTTTGAGGACGTACGTCTCAAGCGAGATTTACAGATTAAATTCACGTAATACAATTTTTTCTTTTCAG